CCCCAATACTAAACGGATGTAGGCTCTCCTTCAGCGACAGTGCCAGTTACTTAGGGTTGGTAATTGACAAAAAACTTAGCTGGAACCTGAGCATCAAAGACAGAGTGAAGAAGGCTACGATAGCCCTCTACACTTGCAAGAAAGCCATTGGGCTAAAATGGGGCATGAACCCAAGAATAGTCCAATGGATTTACCTGTCAATAGTTAGACCAATACTACTCTACGGAGTCGCATTCGAATCTTTACTGATGGCTCAAAGCTGGACAACAAGGTCGGAGGAGGAATCTACTCCGAACAGCTGAACATAAGACAGTCCTTCAGGCTCTCGGATCACTGCAGTGTCTTCCAAGCGGAAGTCATAGCGATCAAGGAGGCTCTGAGCTGTCTTCAGGAAATAGCCCCTGCGGCAACTCATATAAATATCTACAGTGACAGCCAAGCTGCGATCAAATCGCTGAATGCGATAACAACAAGCTCGGCCACCGTGGCAAACTGTCGCAAATCTCTTCATGAGATGGCTTATCAGTTCGTCATCAGCCTAATATGGGTCCCGGGCCACCAGGACATTGAAGGCAACTGCATAGCGGATGAGCTGGCCAGAGCTGGCACAACAATCCCCCTTCTCCATGATAAGGAGGATATTCGTATGCCAATGGCCACCTGCAAGCTCAAAATAAAAGAACATTTTAAGCGATTAATAAATGACAGATGGCAAACCGTGTCACTATGTCGCATAACTCGGCAAACATGGCCTAACATTATTAGGAAGCGCACCGATGAGCTTTGCAAACTCAGTAGGAGTAGGTGCAGCTCAGTCATACGCTCCCTCACGGGACACTGGCTAATAGGCACACATGCAAGCAGGCTGGGTTCCATATAACGACTTCTGTCGAAGCTGTACAGATGAGGACGAGGAGGAGACTGTGGAAAACCTGTTCTGCTCCTGTCCGGCTCTCAGTAGAAGGAGACTGCAATACTTGGGCGCTCCTTTTCTAATTGACATTTCGGACATGTCTACAATCAGTCCCAGACGGATCGCAGGCTTCATAAGGGCATCCGGATGGGATAATGGATAACATAGGGTCTCACGAGGGAGAAGGGAACGTAATATGCGGTATCACAACGGGCCGAAACTGGCCTAGGTGTGTCGGGTCTCTGACAATCCCGACAGCCGCTTCAACCTAACCTTACCTATAGCTAAAATGAAGAAATTAATTTTCTGTTGGTTCCCTCACCTACTTCAGCCAGAAACCCGCTACTCATTCTCTTTCTCGCTCGCACACTCTGCCGCGTGCAGTGCGCGAGCAACCTCAAGCCGAGGAGATGTAGAACCTAAATGGTACATGTAGAATATACATGTTAGATGTAGAATATACATAGTATATGCAGATAACATATGGGCAGTTCCTATCTGGCGGTTCGTTACATTCGTACGAGAAAATGTTGAAAAAAATAGTAAAAAAACTGAAATTTGGAAAAAAGATTATCCTCGTTGAATATAATTTGGTTAGGTCTATATTCACCAGAAAAATGGCAATAATCGAGCGTACGGTTTTAAAGAAATAAGCCAAAGTATGACCTAAAAGTGCGTTACATAAAACAGAAGTGGTTTTCGATGTTGGCGTACAAAATGGCAAAACTCTGCGATTTGGATAGGGCTATCTGTATAACATTTTTTGTGCTAATAAATGAAGTATTAAGAGTTAATTTTCAAACTTATTAAATGTAAAAACTTTTCCTCTTTTTTTGTTAAAAATCCGTGGAGGCATCTGGCGAACGTTACTGGCGTTACGTTACCAGATTCCGCGATTATAAAAGCCTAAAAATATACTGTTAGCCAAGGTTCGACCAACGTTTTGATAATGGTTTTAGGTAGTTTAATATATTAGAAAGACTTTAAGGAGAAACTTTTATCAAGAATCATCTTCTTCCTAGGAGATAATAGTAAAAGAAAACATGTCTATAAAAATACCAGAAAATACCAAAAACGTGAACTTTTGCTTATTTTCATAGGTTTTAGGATGAAAGTTAATGAAATTATATGTGAATAAAGTAAATTAGTTACCTTTCAATAAATTTAGAAAAAAATATCCGGAAAAAATTATATAGAAATCGGTTTTTATTGACTTTTTATGATTTTTGGGCTGGTGGACCTTTTGGCGGAACTGCCCATATGTAGCAAAAAAATGTAAAATGTAAAATTTTGTTTTTAATTCTAAAAAATCATTTGCTCAAAAATGTATTTACTGACTGAGTACGGGTATAATTAGAGTCGCGTCCGTAGAAGCGACTCACACGTTCCTTCTCGTTTTAATTAAAAACACACCATAATAAAAAAAAAAGTAATTCATTTAATAATATTGGATCCCGAAGTCTGTAAAAAAAGGGCGGTTTGTTGTTTGGAAAAAAGGTTTGATTTTGTTGATTACTTTTATCTATCAACTTCTCCGGATAGACATATTAATTATTTTATTTCCAAACGAATATTGAAGTATCGACCAATAACACTACTCGACACGATTTTTCCTCAAGGAACAAAACCAACTTTTTCTTAAAGATTTGGGGCTTAGAAATGGTTTGATGATGTTTTTTTTTTATGGCAGAACTTTTTTTGAAGAATTTTTGAATTCTGGTATTTTTTCTAAAGCTTTTTTCATAGGTAGCGCTCCTTTTTTTTACACAACTCTAGTATCTTACGTCTGGTTGTAAAGAACTTTGCTATTTTGAAAAGATAATTAAAACAGCTAGAAGTGTAGCTAAAACAGTTTGTGATTTCAGATTATCTTCCGGGAAATATAAAGCATTGAAACGCAAAAATTATGATTTTTGTGCGGTATTTTTTAGTCGAACAAAAATTATATCCCGTGTTCTCTATTTTTTATATTAATTAGGCGTCGTTTAAGCTATTGCTCATTAAAAATCTTTGTAGAAACTTTGGAGCTAAAATTCGTTAGCCAAATCTAAAAAATTAACAAAAAATGAACAAAAAATACCTTTTGGGAGGTTGCGGGCCCAACTGCCAATTGGGACCGGAAACGAAAAAGGGTTGCAAATTTGATACCTGATCGCGTTCTTTTGGTATGAATAATTGTTGACAGTTACTTTTTCATTATACCCAATCTGAGGTAGGATACCTGTTCAGGTCAAATGTTTCCTTTATATTCTCACAAGTGCAGGTCCACACAAATTAGATCTTGTCGCGTCTAACTAATCATATTTAACTAACACCAAAGTAGAAATACCTGAGATATGGGCTTTCATTCCTTAACCCATACAACAATTAGTAATTTTTAGTCTTTTCAGTCAATTCTAAGGATATACAAACTTATTTATTTGGTGTTATATTGCTACAAGTTTTTAAACATAAGTGATAAATTTGGTTTGCTAATGCTTGTTAACATTCTTTAAAATAATTTAAGTTTTCTGGCTGTCTTCCTTTTTTATTCGAACCAGATTCTCTTATGAGATTCCACACATAGTCGCACATCATGTTCTGTTCTCATTCCAAACACCTTGATAACGCTTTCCATATATTTAAATTGTTGATGAAATCTCTCTCCGTGTTCATCACTAACGTCGCCTAGGTTTGTCGGAAAAAAGACCACGTGGGACTGCAGGAAATGGACTTTTAGTGACATATTTGCCCCGATTTTTCTATAATTCTTAATTAGCTCTTGGACGATATTGACATAATCATCAGACTTTCTGTTTCCAAAAAAGTTTGTTACTACCATTCGGAATGAGTTCCAAGCTGCTTTTTCATTCTTAGATAAAATATTTGGAAATCCATCATCTTTTAGTAGTTTTGTTATTTGGGGACCATCAAATATTCCTGCTTTCACTTTTCCCAGCGATAGACGTGGAAAAACAGCTTTTAGGTATCGCATTGATTCGCCTTCCTTATTCAGTGCATTAACAAAGTTTTTCATTAGTCCCAGCTTAATGTGTAATGGTGGTAAAATAACGTCTTTAAACTTCACAAGAGCTGCAATCTGTATGTTGTAATTTTCCAAAGTATGTTCCTCCCGTTTTGGCCAGAGTTTTCTTGAGTAATGCTGTTCTCTAGCTCTACTATAGACATAGACATAGACCCCATAGACACAGGAAGCAGCAGTGTTTTGTGTAACCACCTTGCAATCCCGTTAAGTCACACGCGACCTTCCACTGGTGTTCTTTATATTTTATATTTTCAAAAAATTTCGCCCTTGTTTGATATGTTTCCTTCAAATTAACAGCATGGGCGATGGGAACAGACGGCTTTTGGCTTCCATTATGTATTTTATACCAAAGGAACGCGATCAGGTACAAAATGTACAACTCTTTTTCGTTTGGACTGTCTCCAATTGGCAGTTGGGCCCGCAAGTATTTTTTGTTCATTTTTTAGGTTTAGTTAACGAATTTTAGCTCCAAAGTTTCTCCATAGATTTTAATGAGCAGTATCTTTAACGACACCTAATTAATGCACCTATACACAAAAAAATATAGAACACAGAATATAAGTTTTTTTCGACTTTTCCTGAGCTTTTAATGTCAAAATTTCGTAAAAAATACCGCACAAAATGATGATTTTTGTGTTTGCATTTCAATGCTTTATATTTTCCAGACAGTAAGCTGAAATCACAAATTGTTTGGGCTTTACTTCTAGCTGTTCTGCCATAGAAAAAAACAGTTCTTTAAAAACTTTTAAAGTTCCATATCTATCAGAAAAGGACGTTTTGGATCCTTGAGGAAAAAAAGTTCGATTTTGTCGATTAGTGTAATTTATTTGGCAGACCTTTGTTTGTAATAAATAGTGCTCTGATTCCGAAACATTTCATGAAATGTATCAATAATGTTGATTTACAACTGTGAGATAACTTGATTGCATAGAAACAGCCGATTGGCTATATCCATTCAGTTTATTGACCTGATAACAAACAATGGAATCTCTTACTTCTCTGCGTAAAAAAAACCGAGCAATATAATACCCTCCGCAGGGATATAAACTCACGGCAACGTACCTAAAACTTGAACTTCAACGGACCGCTGAGAAGTATAATTATGCTTATTCCGAGCTATACAAGTGTAGGTGCCCTGATCCGCACCGCGCTGCACATTTTCAATAGTTAGGGTTCCGTTTTGAATACGCTGTCATATGTTGATAGGTAACCTTATGCCGTCTGTAAAAAAAAAGAAAGCAGAAGTTAAAAGTAAGTGTGTGTATTCAGAAATTGAGTTAGTAATGAAATTATAGAATGTTACCTTTTTCAATGTTAATTGTGTCGATTGGGTATCCAGCTATAGGACACTTGAGTGTAAAAACCTTTCCAGCAACTGCCGAAAGCTTTGGCATATGACGTATGTACGGCATTCCTTTTTAAAATGTATTTAATATTTGTATTATTTGAATTATTTGTTTGTAAATGGTAAAAGAAATCTTACCATATATATTGAGGCGAGCAGAGTGCGATGCCACTCCAGCCTTTGAGAGAGCTCTACATTCATAGTCTCCTCCGTCTTCTGACTTTACTGCCGTAATATTTACATGAGATATAACATCACCAAACATGGTCACATATTGACCGATCATAAGTCTTTCATTCTAAAAAAAAAAATGATGCAATAGATATTTTGCCGATTTTAGTAGCTGTTTTGATGAAAAATCGAAAATATAATAATAAAATGAGAGGGAACGTTGTGAGACGCAGTGGCCACGACTCTACTTTTATAATCGTACTCAGTCAGTATATATGTGAGCTTATGACTTACGTGGAATTTTTACGAGAGAAAAACCATCGAACCCGAAATGAATTGATTTTTATAACGGCCGGGACGATTTGGCTCAAATTTTTTTCAGTTGTTCGAATTTGATAAGAGAATTTTTTTACGAAAGAAAATTTTAGAAAAACCAACCTTTCGTTCGCGAAAAGCGTGATTTTGTATTTGTTTCTTTTGTGGAATCTCAGCCGTACAATAGTAGGCGAAGAGGCAATTGTCATAGTTGAATATGCGTTCTAAACTCGAGTTATTATTCATCAATTGAGTTATTTGCTTGACTAATGCCTGCTTAGTAGGCGAAGAGGCATTTGACAAAGCTGAAGATTATTTCTAAACTCGAGATATTATTCATCAATTGAGTTATAATATGCCTGCTATTATAAATAAGTAATCGGAATGTATTTAATAATTTAACGCAAGAGGAAGTAAATGAATGGAGACGTGCCCGTATTGCACAGCTTCACGCTGAACAATTACCACCTCAAATTCGACCAGTAGACTTGATTCGCGCTGCGTTCAATAACGATTTCGCAATAGCCTACCAAGATCTTCGTTGCGTTAATATAGTTTCATTGTCTATCGTATGCCAGCATTGCATTAAAGTTTCAATCGGAAACCCCTGGCATATGCTGCGCTGGTGGAAAGGTAAAATTGCCCTTTTTGACTCATCCACCAAAGCCATTGTATTTGAATTACTTTTTTTATTATCAATCTAGAGTTTATATGAAGGCTTTAAAATGGAGCGAGACAACCTTCGCAGGGTCCGCTAGTTATTTCTAAAAAGGTTACAAGCTCAATTGCTTAAAAAAGTCATCTATTTTTTTTTTTTTTACAAATGTTTTGCCGTTTGGAAAACAGAAAAGTCTTGCGTTTTACGAATAAGGGAGCGCCTTTTCGTTTCGAGAAGTAATCACAAATTTTTGGTGAAAGTGAATACCGGAGCCTGTCTGATTAATTTGTATCTGTTTGCATATTTTTGCTACATCTATCATCAACATCCTCAATGTAGATTCTACATCTCGTCCACTAGAGGGCGCACACTGCACAGGCAGATTGTGTGTGAGAGAGAGGATGAGTAGTGGCTGCATTGTTGAAAGAGGGGGTGGTGATAGCAAATGTAAATTAATTTCGCATGTGTCTGGAAACAAAATTTGATTGCTATAGCTTTTATTGTCTCTGAGGTCTAGGCGCTCATCATCACAAATCTAATATAGACCTTAACACTTCGAGTACGGTAAAAAAAAATTTATTCATGCGAGTATTTACTTCATTTGTAGGTTAATTTATTTTCTAACAATATGTAAACACTGCAGTAAAAACTTTTATAAGGTATTGTTGAATTTACTTTTGCATCTTACAATTCGACAGTCCAAGTCATAGCTGCGCCTATAATAAAGATCCGATCGCAATGACGGACTGAGCAAACAAATAAAGTTGGCCTATATCCAGCAAGAGCAATTCAAACAATAGGCTGAAAAAAATGATCAGCCCTCAGGTCATCGCTCTAGTATGGAATGCCTAACTGAAGACTTAGCAAATTGAGTGGCATTGCATTATGCCATTGTGGCAAAGCTGATACTCAGATAAACTAAAGTTTCCGTCGACCAAATCAAGGATGATATTCGTATGGAAACGAATGTGTCGATGCACGACGCTACGTTTTATATTTTGTTAAATTTTACAGTCTAGTGTAAGATAGTTTAGGGCGAAGCGGAAGTGCAAGAAAGCTCTCTCTCGCTCTTGGCGAATTTACCCCGCTTCGCCGCCCTAGATAGACTAACTTATCTATAGAAAATGTTATAATGTGGAAGAAAATAAGTCGAAAAATATCATTGAATTCGAGCGCACGTCCCTTTTTTAGTCTCCCCTTTTTCGTCAAAATACATTAACAATTTGCAGCCCCCAAACTCGGTTTTTGTCGAATTTAATTTAGAAAAACTATTCTAAAATTTCATGGCGCCCCCGGGTGGACTAGCAATAATTAAATAAAGTATAAAGGCAGAAAGTGACAGTGACACGAGTGGTTAAATATATAAAACATATATATTTAATAGTTTAAGTGTATATTATATAAACCTGCCCGCGTCGCGTGAGTGTGCAGCAGCAACCCCCAAACATCAAACCTAAAACTACCGCGCCGGTCGGCTAATAAACATACCAAAAAATACCTAGCGATCTCTACCGTCGAGGGATATCCAATCCACAAGAACTTTGCCACCTGCCATCTTATATACATAGAGGTATTTGTGCAAAAAATTGGAAGCCCGAGTAGAGACAAAATCATTAAAACCTCGCAGTTTCTGTCTTGTGCTAAAATAAGTGCACCTCGCTTTCAATTCTTGGCACATCCGTATGACATAGTAGAGCTAGATTTTCATGTATTTAGTAGAGTTTGTACATATATTACATATATCACATATTCACATACATCAAACCATCTTGGACGCAGAACATATACAGTATGTCAACTAATTGTTTGCAAAATGAAATAAGTCAGACAATTTCAACTTTAGCATTAAAAAAATAAATACAGGCATTATTTGGGAAAATTTTGTTTATTAATTATATTATATATATGTATAAGCTATAGGTAGGACAAAAAAAAAATTACGAAATTCCAAGCAAATCGTAAAAGAAATGAAGAAAACCAAAAAACGGCATTTTTGACGCTGTCAATAAATTCTTTGCAAAATGCAAACAATAATACTCAAAAATTATATATCTTTGTAACAACAAGATATAATTGGCTAATATTTTGTATGCATAACATTAACATCCATAACTGTCCTGAGGCGATGCGACATCGACGATATAAGTGCCTCTATGTCGTAATATTTAGATATTTTTCCCCCTCCTTATTTATACACTTTATCAAATCAATTTTTGAACTTAGGGCGACGTTTGGCCATCCTTTTCTTGAGCAATGCCCACAAATTTTTCATAGGATTGAGATCTGGACTCTGGGCGGGCGTGTCAATAACTTTACTGCAATTATGAAGCACCCAGGTGCGACTCAGCAGCGATTTTTGCTTGTATTTGAGTTTGCTGCTGTTTCCTGGATCAACAAAGCCAAACTTTTGCGCACTTTTGGTCAATTTTTTAAATGTCCAAGTAGAACTCCTTGGTCATTATTTCATTAAAAATGCGCAGCTCTCCAACGCCTTTAGATGATATACAGCCCCACACCATGACTGAGAGCTTGCCAAATTTGACGGTTACCACAATGTTTTTTTCCTGGAGTGATGTGTTTGGCTTCCGCCAAACTTTTTTTGGTCCTTCATTATAATACATCATTATCTTTGTCTCGTCACAAAAAATGTCATCGTTCCAATACTCCGGCGAATTGCTAGAATTGAAAATTGCGAAGTTCAAGCTCTTCTCAATGTTGACATCGGGCAGCAATGGCTTCTTCCTTACTACATATGATAAGTAATTGTGACAAATGAGTATTTTTCTGACTGTCTCATGGAACAAGGTTTTCTTGCAATTGGTTTTAATGTCATTCGACAATTTTCTGAGGCTTTTTTGCGGTTTAATTTCACATGTTTTTAAAACTTCTGCACAATCCCGCCGAGAAGGCTTTGATGGTCTGCCGTCAGAGCGGTGTAATTCCAGCCTTTTTACCTTGTCCAGACGGTTAATTATATCATAAATTGTTCTAAGCATAATTTTATAAGTTTCAGCTAACTCTTTTCCTATTTTTTTTACTTCTTAAATGATAATAAACTAATTAAATCAAATTATCTTCAGTGCGTTTGCCAGGCATTGCAAAAATCATCAATAAAAGAAAAACATGACTTAAACCAAATAAATTTGTAGCAAGAATGAGACCAAGGAAGACTAGAAAAGAGCCCGCGATCGGTCGTTTTCGAATTTTCTGACCCGTTAGTTTTTCTGTGGTATTATTTCAAGCAGTGTTTGCATTTTGCAAAGAATTTATTGACAGCGTCAAAAATGCCGTTTTTTGGTTTTCTTCATTTCTTTTACGATTTGCTTGGAATTTCGTAATTGTTAATAACAAAATTTTCCCAAATAATGCCTGTATTTATATTTTTAATGCTAAAGTTGAAATTGTCTGACTTATTTCATTTTGCAAACAATTAGTTGACATACTGTATACATATAATTTATGCAATCACTGTCGCCCCTTCCCCCTTTTCTCGTTTTCGTTGCGCAAATATATAGTTGGGTCATTGGCCAAGCGCACACATACCAACATAGCAGCTGCAGCGGTGAATTTTCGTTCTCACTTTTGCTCGTCACCGTTGCTGACCGTCGTTGTTGTTGGTGTTTTCGTTTGGCGCGTTTGAGTCAAACCGTTCGCCAAGCTAAACGCTGCCCTGTAATCTTCGGGTATACAGTTTTGGTGCCAGTAGGACCCAACTGTCAATTTGTCAAAGCGTGCCTCGCAATTCAAATTGGGTGTCTATTGGTCGGTCCGCCAGGCCCAGCCTACACAAACGCCAAGACAGCTTAGACACACACACATGTGCATACGTTCATAACTGCAGCGGTGAATTTTCGTTTTCGCTTGTCACCGTTGCTGTTTGTTGTTGTTCTTGTGTGTTTTGTGTTGGCACGCCTGCGCCAACAGATCGCCAAGTGCCCCGATACTCTTTAATCGACGGGTATATCGGTTTTTTGCCGCATTTGGCATCGACACCATAGGTCCGTATTAAACAGATCGCCAAGTGCCTCGATACCCTTTTATCGTCGGGTCCGTATTAGGTCCGTATTAAACCGATCGCTAAGTGGTGCGATACCCTCTAGTCGCCGGGTATATTGTTTCGTTTGTTTTCCTTCCTGTTTCGACAATTTGCGCCG